GAGTTTTCCTTTTTTATGCCATGGATTTCACATTATTATTATTATTTTTTCCTTCATAGGGAGACGGTTTTCACGGATGTCCAGATCTAAACGTTGTTTTTCCCTAGATTGCTCTCATCTGTCCTTTGAAGCTGTGTTTGACGAATGTCCTTATTAGAAGAAGAATGTGGTGTGAAGGACTGCGCCCAGTGCCAAGAATACAGAGGGAAAATATGAGGGGAGTGAAGTGTGAATAACAAGGTTAAAGTTATTTGAGGTTAATCGCATCTCTTCATCAGTCACATGTTCAAGCAAGGCGCGCTCTTCGAGTATGGAAAAGAGTTTGAGGAAAAACAACAACCAGCTGAGAAACAAAGTGTGGAGTAACCCTGTTTCAGGACTGCAGGCATCGTGAGAATAAATTACAATTGTTAGATAATTGCTGTAAATGTCAAAATTTGTCACAAATTTGCCAACATAACCAAAGTACCACAAGTCACTAGAAAAGCATAGTAGGAAAAGGTGAAAAATAAATGAAAATACAATTTAAAGTTGAAACTTTATGGCATCCTTGACATTTTCCAAAGTTGTTTGGTGGCCCAGCGGCTTTGCTAGGCCGATTCTGGTCCCCAGCCTTATCTTTGGCAACCCTAATTTAAAGGGTTACTTTGGCAGGTAAAAGAAGTGAATTTTGTGTGTGGACTTTTCTTTAAAGTTCAAAATTAAGTTGAATCATCCTAGATCAGATGCACCAAAAAATTTTATTTCAGTCTCACCTGCTCACAAAATATTGTTAAAGCAGTATTGAGATTCGTCCATGTGATCTTGAGCAAACTGTGTACGTTCTTCTGGAGAGCAGCGCTCTGTCCTTGAAGCCGTTCCATGCACACGATTGCCGTTCGCCGTTCTCCTGATGGTGGAGTCATCAACACAAACATTAGCCAAGAAAGAGAGAGAGAGGCCTGGGACTGTTCCTTTGTGACCTTGATGACTGTAACATGGTTTGCTGTGGGAATGATCTTTGATTGTCAACCTCTCCTTCATAGTTGAACACCATCTGTCTGACTGATTGGACTTGTGGAGTCTGAATTGTTCTGGGATGGTTTTGTAACCTCTTACAGCTGCATGAGCATCAACACCAACTACGATCCACTCCCTCAAATGTGTTTTGTAAAGATCAGCCTTTGATAGATCCCTGTTGTTCCAGTCATGTTGTTGTTGTTGTTCACTTAAAAACATCAAAAACCCACCATCCACGCCCGATTTTCATTCAATGGATTGATAACA